CCAGGTTCCAGAAATAATCACTGAGGGGAGGCCCATGATGTGTCAGTCTCCTATTTCAAAGAAGTATTTTCTCGTCCTGCTTGAGACTCAAATGCAGGATAACAGCTTCATCATCTCCAGCAGAGGCAGGACTAGGATTAAGATCCATTGCCTTACACTCTTTTTATGTTTTGTAAAAGCCTGTCCTCAGTGTACCATCGTCATCGACATCGTCCAGCTGCAAGATCCTCCTCTGCTTTGCTTCATGATGTATCTGCCTCCTTCTAAGTCTTTCACGTGCGTCCTGGCCACTCGTCACCCTTCACCTGCTCCTCTGAATACTGTCTGCACCAGTAAACAATCAAGACAGCTCATTATATAAGCTCACCATCCCCACACTTTGATATCAAGTCAGTTCAACAGACTTCGCTGTTACTGCAGGTCACTGAATTTGGCATCATGTTACAATTTTAAACTTAATTAAACTGTTAGACTGATCAGTGACAGCATCAAAGTCCTCAGCAGTGTTTATTAAAACATTCATGATCAACTATAACTCATTCTAAAGCACTGATGCAGGTGTCATTTATTGAAGATGATATCCCACTGTCCTGTGCATTCGATTATGTGACAGATGAGCTGAAAAAATAAATGCTGTCTGAAAGTTGTTTGTGTATAAATGTGTAGATTTCCGGGGCGTTTTGTTCACAGAAATGCATTATTCTCTGCTGTTTTCCGTGTACAACTTGAAGCCCTGATTAATCGATTTTGAACTTTTTTGTTGATTATTTTCATTTTCAGTTATCATTAATTGTATCAATTAGTTGTTTCAGCCCAAATAACAGCCAGTGTTCCTATGTAAAAAAAATTATAATAATAAAATAAACTTTTCAAGTAATAACAGCAACCAGACACTTCCTGTAGTTATTTATACAGTCAAACCAACATTTATTCAGACACCTTAAACATTTCTCACATTATCACAGTTTATTTGCTATAGTTTACAAAATGTTAATAAAATATGACAAGAACAAATTCATATTGATAATGTCAGACAACTTTGATAGAAATGTATGTAATGAATTCGGTTGAATAGCTGTGAGCTGTTAAATTTAATTACACAATTATTACCAAGCAATGCTTCATTTTGTTCAGTCTGTGGTGTAAAAAGCATTAGCAATTAAAGAAAAAAAAAAAACACTTAAGAAAAAACATGGTCAGGTCAAAGTGTCCTAATACTTAAAAATACAAAAAAATAATTTTTGGTCTCAAATTTGTATCAGTTTTACTGGTCGTCCACTGTATGAAGAATTTTTGGGTATAATATGTTACAGTTTACTTTATTTTGCTATCCTCACTTACATAAATGCACTATAGTGTCCTGTTCCTACTAGTAAAAAAACAAAAAATTATATCTGGTGTCTGAATAATGTTTGGTTTGACTGTACACTCTAAAAAATGCTGGGTTGTTTCAACCCAACTTTGGGTCAAATATGGACTGAATAATTTTTGGTTTGACTGTAAGTCTTCCTTACAGAACTGCTTCAGCTCAGTGACATTTGTAGGATTTTGAACTGTTTATAACAGCATTGCAAATACAGACTTAAGTCCAGTTCTCGCCATTAACTAACTATTAACTATGACTTTTGCCTCAATAAACTCCTAATTTGCTGCTTATTAATAGTTAGTAGGGTAGTTGTTAAGCTATTAAGGTATTGGGTAGGATTAGGGATGTAGAATATGGTCATGTAGAATATGTGCTTTATAAGTAAGCAATAAGGTACGAGAGGCCGTGCTGTATTGTGAATAACTCCGCTCCGCGTCGTGCCTAACAAAGCCCTTCAGCCGTGACTGCAAGAGAATGTTACGATGTAACATGCTTCATCTTATGAAGCTCAAATAAAAACAGAGAATAGGAACTCTTCTTATCCGCTGTGTCATTTTTTTAACACCATATATGATATTTTCTCCTACACATACATCTACTTATCTCTCAGCATGAGAAAACGTCTGTTTTCCGTCTTT